CATTAGAGAGATGCAAATCAAAACCACACTGAGATACCATCTCACACCAGTTAGAATGGCGATAATTAAAAAATCTGGAGACAACAGATGCTGGAGAGGAAGTGGAGAAATAGGAACACTTTTACACTGTTGGTGGGAGTGTAAACTAGTTCAACCACTGTGGAAGACAGTGTGGTGATTCCTCAAGGCCTTAGAAAAAGAAATTACAGAAAGGGGAGTACTAAACAGTGGGGTCTATTGGGGGGAAAAGGGGAGGGCCAGTGGGAGGGGGAGGTGGGGAGGGATAGCCTGGGGAGAAATGCCAAATGTTGGTGAAGGGGAGAAGAAAAGCAAAGCACACTGCCATGTGTGTACCTACGCAACTGTCTTGCATGCTCTGCTCATGTACCCCAAAACCTATAATCCAATAAAAAATTTAAAAAAATAAAAAAATAAAAAAATAAAGAAAAAGAAAAAGAAATTCCAATTGATCCAGCAATCCCATTACTGGGTATATATCCAAAGGACTATAAATCGTTCTACTATAAGGATGAATGTTCATTGCAGCACTGTTTACAATAGCAAAGACCTGGAACCAACCCAAATGCCCATCGATGATAGACTGGATTGGGAAAATGTGGCACATATACACCATGGAATATTATGCAGCAATAAAAAAAGATGAGTTCAAGTCATTTGTAGGGACATGGATGAATCTGGAAAACATCATCCTCAGCAAACTGACACAAGAACAGAAAATGAAATACCACATATTCTCACTCATAGGTGGGTGATGAAAAATGAGAACACATGGACACAGGGAAGGGAATACCAAACACTGGGGTCTATTGGGGGGAAGAGGGGAGGGACAGCACGGGTGGGGGGAACTGGGGAGGGATAGCTTGTGGAGAAATGCCAAATGTGGGTGAAGTGGAGGAAGGCAGCAAAACACACTGCCATGTGTGTACCTTTGTAAATGTCTTGCATGTTCTGCACATGTACCCCAAAACCTAAAATGCATTAAAAAATTAAATGCATAAAACACATTGGAATAGAATACAGTAGATTACATTAAATATAGTAATCAAAATATTAGTCAAAACACATTTGTCATTAAGCAATCTATATACTTATTTATTAACAGATTAAACAAAAAGAACTAGTGACAGGGCTGTTAACTGTTTTTTTCAAGGTAATAGCAAGTGAGAATTATGATTAAAGGCAACTGCAGTCACTGCAATATGATATGGAATTATGTGTGAATACTACTTTGAGAAAGTCATATAGTGCCAGTGCAGTGCACACAAATTCCAGGGTCAAATTCTTTAAACTTACATGAGAACATGAGGATAAATGTGTAACAATCTGAATGCATTCATTTCTAGGTTGATGTTTACAACTTATTTTTCTACTTTCATGTTTTCTTACACAAAATCAATTTGATATCATTGTTTAAAAATTGTACTAGAGAGATCCAAATTTCCAAACTACAAAGCTCTTGCTTTTCACATTTATATTCCATTGGTTTATGTACTCTTTAACTGAGTTGAGTAATTTGAATAACAAGTATGAATGATACAACAGATTTGACAAAAATTCTTCTGTGGTGATCACCAATGAAACTTGTGGGGAATTTAGCCTGACAAAGAGCCTGTTGTTCCCTGGCATTCAGAAAGCCAAAGCCACCAGAAGGGTACATTCTGCAGAAGGGAATGGAGAACATCTGTTTATTAAGCTAGTTAGTAATGACAAGATAAAATGTCTTCTACTATACATTTGGGTTTCATTTGAACTTTACAACAACCTCTTAAAGAAAGTAAGGAACAACTTATTCTTTATATAAGGAAATTGAAAACTTACCTAAAAATAAATACTCAGAAGTGACAAAACTGGGAATGAAATCAAATTCTGTTTCCCTTTCACTACACAACATGCTTTGTAAAATCTAAAGAAATGAGCTGAAACATGTTTAGGCCATTAGCTTCTCTTCAATAAGATGCATTGTCTCTAAGTTATTTTATGTATTTTAAACAGAAAATATTGTATCTGAATAGGAAAGAAATCAAATATCTCATTGGGTAATGAAAACACACACCACACGCACACACGTGTAGACACTGCATTGGCTAATGCTGCATTGTATGAAGCTCGGATTCCTCTAGTGAGTGTAAAACTTTAGCACAGGGCTCTTTACTACAGACATATGACAGGCATTTTTTTATTTTCCCTGATGTAATTCACGGAAGTTAAGATACAGACTTCTTTTTTATTGTACCACCTCAACTCAGAGAAAAGAGAAGTTTCTAACTTGAGAGACATTAAGAGAATTTCCTATTTAGTTCCAAAATGTATATAATGCAAAACCCATATGTAGTTATTTTAGTGTTTTGAACCTTTTAACAATTTATTGAAGCCCATGTTCCCCACGAAGGATAAAATTAAATGCATAAAACTCATTGCAATAGAATACAGTAGATTACATTGAAATATAGTAATCAAAATATTAGAAAAAACACATTTGTGATTAAGCAATCTGTATACTTATTTATTAACAGATTAAACAGAAAGATCTAGTGACAGGGCTGTTAGCTAATTTTTTTCAATGTAGTAGCAAGTGAAAATTATGACTAAAAGCAACTGCAGTCACTGCAATATGATATGAAATTATGTGTAAATACTACTTTGAGAAAGTCATATAGTGCTTATTTTGTGGTTTGCTGCCCATATTCATCTATAAGGAAATGAATAATTTCCATTAATGTTAGTAAAAATAATGTTATACTATTTGTCTCATAAAAGTTCAGGAACCCTTCTAATTCTGTTTACAAACAATTATGTTTCACAGTGTAGAATAAGAATTCCTGCTACAAAATATTCTATGGCCCATATTTTCCCTTTCTTTTTAGTCATCTTTATGTCCTATGTATGTTTTAGTTTTTGATTTTATATTTTATCTCCCTTCAAAAATGATAATCAGTTCAAATATAAACATCATACATTGCCAAAATTATGTTCTGCTGTTTAATATGATAGCGCTTGACTTGGAATTAGTTTGGCAAAAATAACACAAAACCTTAAATAACAGAGTAAAAATATTTAGAGGAAGGTCATACCATAAATTCCAATTACAAAAATTAACACAAGGATTCAATAAAACAATATAGATATAAATCTAATGATTTAAATATATGTAAGTACGGTTTGTTTGTTTTCTTTTATTTCAGAAAAATCCTTAATGTTAAGATGTACATGTATAATACTCAACTTTTTTATTAGTTTTTAAAGGAAAGGAGTTTAAAAAGATTCAAGAACAGTGTATCTGAATCAGGATATATATATATTTTAAGTCCTGAAGTATACCTAAATAGTGGAATCTTGAGAATTGAAACTGACGGAAACAATACAATCCTTGCCCAAATGCTTTTGTAGCTTAATTTACACATTCATTGCTTCACAGGAAAATTCTGTGGCTTCTACCTTCAGATCCAAATTCAGATATGTGTCACTGTCTTGTTGTATTTGAATGTATGCTTAAATGACACCCCAACAAAGCTGAGAGCTTTAGTGTGTAATCTAAGATGGATCCAAGCACCTGTACCTTTATAAGCACTAATTTATTCATTCAGACCTGTAATAGCAGGTGTATAATTCCCACAATGGCTCGTGTTACATAAAAAATTGGTGAGAACATAGATCAAACACTTATTTTCATTAAATAAATGCTAACACCTTCACATTCACATTTATTAGGACATTAAACTGAAGAAGTGAGAAGGAAGTCATATGTCTTTATTTGATTTAAGTGAGCTCGGTGCCTCAGAGATGAGTGTTTTCTACCTTTTGGCCTTCTATCAACCAGAGTACAAAGGAGCCTGAGGTCTGGTGCTTTGGGCAAAACGGCTGCTTTAATTATCTGAATCCATTAAGACAGCCTCATCATGGAATCCATTCTTGCTTATATCTGTCACTATTATATGCCTAAAGTGCTCGGTCCTCTCAGATCCTCTTTCTGATGGTTCAAAGTCTCCTCTGATCAAAATATTTTAAATTTTGCCCCAGATACCACACTTTCATTTTCTTTCACATTTTTCTATATTATTCAATAACATCCAGCACGTGCTATATTTTACACTTTTTCATTGTTTATCTTCTAATTTTGATTGTACAGTCTGCTAAAGAAAGGAATTTTGTTTGGCTTATGTACTTGTATGTCTTCCATACTTTGAGTATTACCTGGCAGGTGATACTTCTTGATGAAAAAGTTGTTGATAGATAAATTAATGATTAAAGGAGATGTCTCCAAATAGGATAGTTCCACCTACCAGTTTACCTTAAGATCTCAAATCCCAGTATGGATGACCAATTCAATGCTTTCTCATGCCACCAGTCAGCCTCGTGATCTGCACATACTCTATTATCCTCTTCAGTTTTCTGAACAATAAACAGGAAGATGATGCAGCTAGAAATTGTGAAATCATCTCTGTGTCCAGCTCTTGTTTCATTATCATTGTAGTCCTAGCCTTACATATGAGTAGAACATTTCAAAAAGTTTCTGAACAGTGTGCTTGCTCCCTCTTAAAAGGATTGGAATCCCTGACAGTGATAGCTCTAACTTTCATTACTGGCATATCATTGTCATAGAAAGATACTCTGGTTTTATGTTTTTTCACCCTTAACATGCATTTTCTTCCTCTGGTTATTCTCTAGGGGGAAGCAGCATCAATGTTTATCTTTAAATCAAAACAGACTATCACATTCTCATGAGAAACTATATAGATGAGTTCAAATTAATAATCTAAAAACATCAATTTATTGCATTCTTATGTTTTAGATATGGTGTTTCAGGATTAACAAAGAATGAGATTTTCTTGATATCACTCTGTGTATTTATTTATTTCCACTTGTTCATAAACTAATTTATCTACATGTGCATGGAACTCATTCAAGTGGTATGTTAATTTGACCTTATAACTAAATAAATAAATTCTTTTGCAATAACAAGTAGTGACCATCACTTCTTTTCTAAAGGAGAGAATGAACTTTGTGGATTACATGTTAATTACTGCACCAAACTCATTGTGCCAAGTGCTTGGGCTTAAGCAAAAGTTATCTGCCATCTTCTCCCCTTCCTGTGTTCATCTGTCTTTCCTTATCTGTGTTCTTTTTTCCTCTCTCTCTATTTGGTGGCATGCTCAGTTTTCAGTCACTTTACCTTGGCATCACTAACAAACCTACTTTTTTTTTCTCCCACATCCAGGCTGTTCATCCAACACATTTCAAAATTCTGTTATTTCTTCCTGTTCCTGTCCTTAAAAGCTGTCACTTCCCCTCTGTTCCTGAAGCCAAAAACCTCATCCTAATATCTTTATCTACAGCAACATGTTCTCTTCTACTCAACATTTATTCTGTGGTTTACTTTACAAGCCACATAAATTAGAAAAATTCCTGTTTTCCTTTCAAGGTGATTGCCCATCTTACATTAAGTTATTTCTGACTTGAGGAAGCTGAGTTCCTTTTGATTCACCCTGCTGCTCTTCTTTCTGCCTGTTCACACGGAAACCTGCCCAATTTACTTCTCCACATTGTTTTCAATTGCAGACATTATTTGTTTGTAATTCCTTTCATCCAAGTTGAGAAAACTCAAACCTTACCCTTGTGAATCAATCAGGATAGGATAGGAAGTGCTGTGGTGACAAGTAAGCCCTGAATTTTAGAGGTTCACAACAAAGGATAATTTTTATTCAACACCATTCTCAGGTGTTGAGACCACTGCCTAGGTAGTCTGTGGTGCCTTTACTTTAGGTCCAAGATGGGCAGAGCAGTGTCTGGAAAGAACATTACAGGTTTTGGCAGAAACTATGTGCTGAGTTATTAAACTGTCTGCTTGGAACTGACAAGGGCCAATTCTGTTTACATCTTGTGAAATTTAGTCCCATGACAATGCTCTAGTTGCATAGGGTGAGGATATGTGTTTCCTGCTGGTTTGCTGAAATCTTGAGCTCCATCCTCTTTGGTCAACAGTAATATAATCTTCCCTTCCTTCACAGTCACTGCCACCACCACCAAAATTTTGCATTTTGTCCAAGAAAATTCAGTTGACCTGGAAATAAGAAAGGTTTCATCTGTCACCATCTCTCCGAAATGAGGTTGTCAGTTTGAAGCAACACTCTGGCAAACTGTAAGTCTGTGTGGCAGAAGCAGGGCAAAATCTATCTTGGAAATGTGAGTTCCAGAAGGATGGATAAGAATAATGACAAGAATCTGCTGTAGCTTCTTCAGTGCAGTTATATACACATGCACTATTGTTCCTAAATTATTTTTCCTTCAGATAGAAGAGGGAGTAATATAGTGTGTGAATGCTACCTGCTTAAAATAAGAAGTAAACGAAAAGAAACAATTAGCAAATGCATTAGACAGGGTACCACTGGGGGAGAAAATGACTGATTTCAGGACCCTTCTCTGAAATACAAGAGAGAGAACTGACGTGAGATTCAAAGATTTGCCACTCACAATTGAATTTGAACACTCTCAAGGTGAGATTCCTGATTTTAACTAGACACATTGAATTTACTAATAGAATTCCTGTTCTATACTACTTTTTCGATCCTAGTTATTTAATGTAAATTATAAAAATATATTAAAATTTCATATGGAGTCTACAAAATACTGTATATTGGATATGGTAGTTGATTTTATAAGTGTATTATTTTAGGAAATTATAATAATTCCAATTTCTTCTTTTGCATTAGATAATAAAATCAACTGAACATAAAATATTAATGCCACGGGTGATCTTAGAGATGATTTCCTTTAAAGTTCCAGCCAATTCTGGAACATTTCTGAAGTGAGCTTGAGTACAGTTTTTTTTTTCTCTGCTTTACATCTCTATTAAGGAGCTTGGTACATCTCTTGTCAACCTGTTATGTTATAAATACTTCTATTTTCTAGACAAACCTTTCTTCCTAAATAGGAAGACCTGAAGTCTAAACATAATGTCTAGTATATTATCATGGTTCTACCTACTGGAAAAAATGTCCAATTCATCTTTTGTATAAAATAATTTGCGAATGGCTATGGCTTCTTTCTTACCTTTTCCTTCTCTTTCCTTCCCTTTTCCAAAATAAATTCCTTAGTATCTCTGATGTTCTCTGATATGACAAAAATTACATATCTTTTAAGAGTCTGATAACATTTTCCAGTACCTTTTCATTCATTTCATAATTACTTACTGTCTGTGTATTCTGTAACATCAATAACTATGCTGATCCAATATTGAGTATTCAAATGCAGTTTCTGCTTTTCTGAAAGTTACAGTCTAATTGAGAGGCAGATATTTAGAAAAAAATATGTAAGTTAATATATCGTAACATAGCGTGGTGCATGTTCTGAAGGTAAATGACAGTGTGCTTTAACACATGGCATGTTGAACAAACTACCCTGGATAGGCATGTTGCACTAGCATTTTTATTAATTTTGCCTCCCCATTTTATTTCTGCTCTTAACATCCTAAGTGGTGTTAGCTTTATTTGCCACAGCATTAAAACTGTGACAAGTTTCTTGTTAATAATATATGACTTTAGTACCCATATGCTTAAAAGCATATAGAGTATATAGAGAACTTTAAATGCTACCTTCCAATTTATATTTTGCCATAGTATCTTCTATTAAAAAACCCTAAACCAGCAACAACAAAAAGTGTCCACAAAGCAACAAACAAAAACCTTGGCAGGTTTTTCGGAGTTTTCATGCATTTGTTTCTCATTCTTTAGAGGGAAATTAAGTTACATTTCAGGCTTAGGTCTGATAGATTGCGGAGAGGGAATGAGGTGCTGTTTAAGTTGAAAATCTTTGGAATGTGACAGATCAGATCACAAGAGACAATTGTTATTTGCACCCCTTTGCCAGAGTTCAACGACTTATTGTTTTCATCTAGCAGAGAAGCAAAAAGTCTCTTTTTATTCTTTTTGAAACTTAGTAATCATAGAATTCTCAAGAAAAGCCTAAGGTGGAAAATGTATTGAACTAGATAGAACTTAGCAATTTAACGAAAAGTGCTGTTCTTGTCCTGTAAAAATGAAAGAGATGATTGAAACTTAAGACATTAAGAGGTAAAAGAAATTGCATTCTCAAGATTAATTTTTTAAAGGATCCAAGGAGTTCTAGTTTTTCTCTTTTTTAAAGAAAAATTGTAGTTGTAACTTGCTAGAATAAAATGAAATCTTTAAATCTTATTACAAAGAGGAAAATAGTAAATCTGATCTAGACAATTTATGTGTGCATGAGGTCCATTAGAAATAGTTTATAATTTTTCACTGATGGCAAAAGCAAAACAAATACAAATGTTTCCCGAATTAATACATTTTCAAATTAATAATGTTAATCTAATTTATAATTTATGAAAAATTCTAAAATATTAATATATACTGAAAGAACAGCAGTTTGATTTAACCAGTTTTCTAACATCTGAAATAAACACTTCAAGTAAAACATTAAAATGAAATATACTGTTAAATGAAAAGTTGATTCATTTTCTTAATCTGTAATATACATAGAGATAAAGAAAATGTGATAATTACAAAGAAGATAATGAGGAAATAGAATGACTATCAGTAAGACCAAATTTTATTCACAACCCTAGAATCATGCTGAAGCCCACTGAGCAGAAGTGAATTACTTTTCCCTGGGTGTGTCTGTATTTCTCAAGTAAACTGAGGAGTCTGTGCATTATTGACTTCAGTCTGTGTACATGTAAAGGGGCCACTGTTGGCTTGCAAGTCAATCTTTACGATAATGGGGCTTTGCCTTCTTTAACAACCCTTTTGCTCAGAATGTTCTATGCTGTCTGGGCTTGCCTTGTGATTGATCCTGGTTTTGAAGCTGACAACTGTGAACTAGCAAGGAAATGATGTGGCAAGAGTTGCCATGGCTGAATAATATTCAAAGAAAGGTCTGCCTGGGCAGGTTACGGTTCATGGCAGGATCACAGAGAACAGGGCAGATGCTTGTCTCCTGAGACCCCTTAGGCCACAAAGACTTTGAAATGTTATATATATATATATCTCGCATGTGCTTTTTCAAAAAAGTTAATATAGTGAATGTACTAATTTTTAAAAAATTATTATTACTATTATTATTTTTTGAGGCAGGGTCTCAATACCACCCAGGCTGTAGCACAATCATGGCTCACTGCAGCCTGGTTCTCCAAGGCTCAAGTGATCCTCCCACCTCAACTTCCCAAGAGTCTGAGACTACAGGCATGTGCCACTATGCCAGGTGCATTTTGTTTGTGTGTGTTTTTTGGAGAGAGGGTTTCACCATGTTGGCCAGGCTGGTCTTGGACTTCTAGGCTCAAGCAATCCACCCTCCTTGGCCTCCCAAAGTGCTGGGATTACAGGCATGCACCGTTGTGCTCACTGATACCAAAAATGAAATAACACTTCGAGTAGTTTCTGAGGCAGTACCTCATAATGAAATACATTACTATTTCTGTATCCAAAAGATATAATAGTCACATGAAGAGGAATAAATTGCAATTGTAGAGCATGTTATTGCAATTGAAGTTCAACTTGCAAATAAGTAAAATAATTTTTAAAAGTATTCGATTTTGAAAATTCCATATATTTTGTTATTCTAGATAAGGTATGATAAGCCCACATGTACAAAATATTTACTGTGTATCTAAGATGTTTCAGGAAACCTGAAAAAAGAATATGGAAGAGCAAGAAAGATCAATCCAGCCTTTTGGTTTCACACAAATGTTAAGAACTTCATGGTTTGGATTTTTACAGGGAAGGATTGTATTTGGGGTTTTCCATTTGGGAAGACGTGACCCCCATCAGGAACAGGGCATTTTCTCCTGCAGTGTCTCCCACAGCACTGTAGAAGTACCCATTGGCAATTGCCTCACTACACTATAAATATTTTTATTTATACTCTCTCTCACTAGACTGTGCTATCTTTAGAAGCAGGAATTATGTCTTATGCATATTTACATTTCCTGTACCCAGTTCAGTGCCTGGAATATGAAAAGCACATATATTTAATAAATAAGTCTAATGAAATGATTTTTGCCTAAGTTTGGGGATAATAAGGCAGATCAGTTAATGATTCTTAATTTTGTGTGCTAGATTATACAAATTTGCTCCTCAATTAATCAGAGAATGCTTATGAAAATAATACAGATTCATAATATGCAGGCATGGAAAGCAAATTCAAGTCTTGATACTGGTTTCTAGTACTGTATAAGTCTCTAGTTGAGATCATATCTATGAAGGCTGAAAAAAAAATCAGAGTAAGTAAAAGACACAGTATATTTGTCACACAATATTCAAATTTGAAATCTGAAATACTATGAGCTTAATTTGAATGAATGAGGATGAATGAGTATCTGCTGAAGAAATGGGATGTATTATTCCTGACTCCTACTTTCATCTTCTGTTAAATAAAAAACAAATAATGACAACCTCTGTGCTTAGCAATGTTAAATAATTTTAAGAATGAATCATTTCATGTCAATATTATTTAACAGAGGAGTTCAGGAAAGGGAGTAAACAATATGGACTAAAACTTTTTTTAGAAAGATACTTTGGGGTACGTCGAGAGATTGGAAAGAGCAAGAAAGAACAATCTATTTAAAGATTTAAGTTAGTGTTGTATAGAGGAGATGTAGTGATAACTAAATATGCATAGATTTGGGCTACACTGAAAGACCTTGACAGGGAGAAAGCACATTGCAAATGCCTAGGCATGAGTATTAAGGGATAGTAACAAAATTTAGATCCATAAGTTGTGTTGCATTCGGATATAATTTGTAAGATTTAATACAGAGATCATGGGTTTTATCCAGTAAAATGTGTTTTTAAACTTAAAATCCATAATTACATTCAGGGTACAACAAATAACACTGGACAATTGCCATGTCAATAAGGATTATTACATATTTTCAAATTTTGGAATTATAAGAAATATTTGCAAGCGTTTCAGCAAAATTGGCTTTCTAGGAGGGGAAGGATGGCCAGATCTGCCAAAACCAGGAACTCGATTTAAAAATTTAGAAGCTTCCTTTTTCAGGGAATATAGGCCATCCAAATGCATGGGTGTTTTTGCTCAGCAGAAGAATAGTGAGACTCAGGCCCCATGATATCATTCTGATTTCAGAAGATTTGGCTAATTACAGTGGATCTCTAGCCAGAGGAAATAGACTAAGTATCGATAGTTCATAAGGTTTAAGAAGGAAGGGAGAACTAATGAGGAAAGACCTGTAGTCCCAGAGTCTACCTACCTTAAGGTGTGCCTTTTGACTAACTCATTTAAAGCAGGCTATGACCAGGTAAAAACTAGGAAATACTCCGGATAGGGCCACCATGACTTAAGAATCAAATGATAGCATCAGGGCTGTCGTCAGCATAGGACATATAGTCAGAATAAAAAGGAAAAACATAAGCATATCTAGACAGAAAGAGTAAATTTAAATGGAAAAGTACATTTTTTTCAGTTCTCAAGTTAAAACCTGATGGATTCACTTTTACGGATT